TTTTAAGTAGTCTAATAAAAAATGAATAAAAAAAGTTCAGTTCATTTTAGGTGACCCGATCTACTCATGACCCAACTCATTTGGGTTCAGGTAATTTTAGTTTGGGTCATTTCGAATTTCAAATTAACACGTAGGACACATGACTAAATCCATAACAGATGGATTAGGTTTGATTTTAGATTAGGTCCAATTTTGCCAAGTATACTACTAGTAGATTTTTGGTTTGCAATATCACTAGCCCAAATAGCATTAGAATATGCACGAAGCACAAGTGAGGAATGAGAAGAAAAGTGAACCCAAACACCCTCCCAATAGCTTACAATTGCTATTAAGCTGTTCAATTCTCTTGTTACAAATCACTCAACTGTTCCTATATCTCAAGAATAGATTTATAAATCTAACAAGGTATCTTAATTAGTCCCTCTTTTTTTGATACATTGAAAGAGCATAGGATTAATTAAAAAAGAGCAAATATTGAATTGATTTCAATAAAGAGTAGAAAGCACTTTTGATCTCTTTTCTTTCAAGTTGGAATGCCCAAGGGGTTTTACTCTTCTTGTCTCTAGATCTCTGTTTATTTTTTTAAGGTTTGATACCCAATTTGGTCCCTAAACTTTCATTTCGAAACTTAGTTCATCCTGTAACTTTAAAAAGCACCCAAACTGTCCTTAAACTTTATTTTTTTAGAACCCAAGTGGTCCTTCCGTCACGAAAGTGCCCAGTTGGCATGTTAACCTGCCACAAATTAATACTTTTATTTCATAAAAATTACGTGGAAAAAATATGATGATTTGATAATTTTAATAAATTTAATAGAAAAAAATATACCATTAGAATATTAACCCTCCCTTATCTTCAACCCTCATCCCTCTGTACCATTTCTGTTCTTTTCCCTGTTCTCCAGCAACGACATCAACACCAATCCAGTGGCATCATTCTTTCCCTTTCTAATTTTTCCCTCTACTCTCCACCCTCCTTTTTCCTCCTTCCTCATTTCCCTTTTCTTTCCCTTTTTTTTTCTTTTTTCTTTTCTTTTCTAGTTGGGGTTTAGAACCCATGTTGGGATTGGGGATTCAACCCAGATCAGGTCTGGGATTGGGTATTCAACCCAGATCAACTCATTGTAAAGGGACAACAATAGCTAAAACCAGCTAAGATCTCAGTCGATAAAAGAGCCAATTCGACTCCATTTTCACTGCATTAGCTCCACACAACTTCATAAAAAAATGCAACAAAAATATTGAGGAATTAAGCCAACCTAGGGCATACTACTAATAAGTTCGTTTTCCTTTCTAGTTTCCACAGTTTCTTAGCAGCCAAACACAAATTTCTATTGCAATCCTCAAGTAAAAAACAAAATCTGCTTTTCTATCAAAGGATTTAAGTATATAAAGCTACAAAAAAATTGCTCACCAGTGCCAAATTGAAAGACAGCGAGTCTTTGAGAAGGATTGTTATTGTTGGAGGCACTGGTATTGTCGCCATTGATGAGAATAGAAGAGAAGTTCGGAGACGGCAACCGCATTGAAGGTCTGCAAACTGAAAGACAACATGTCAAAGAAGAAGACGATGCAACTGGGAGTGGTGTTCTCAGCATTTTCTCTTTTCTTCTTCACCCCAATCCCAATATGGGTTCTAAACCCCAACTAGAAAAGAAAAGAAAAAGAAAAAAAAAAAGGAAAGAAAAGGGAAATGAGGAAGGAGGAAAGAGAAGCGTGGAGAGTAGAGAGAAAAATGAGAAAGGGAAAGAATGATGCCACTGGTATTGGTGTTGATTTCGATGCTGGAGAACAGGTAAATGAACAAAAATGGCAGAGAGGAATGGGGGTTGAAGATAAGGGGAGGGTTAATATTGTAATTGTATATTTTCTTTTATTAAATTTATTAAAATTACCAAATCATCATTTTTTTCCACATAATTTTTTTGAAATAAAAAAATTAATTCATGGCAAGTTAACGTGCCAAATGGGCACTTTCGTGACGGAAGGACCATTTAGGTTCTAAAAAAATAAAGTTTAAGGATCATTTAGGTGCTTTCTAAAGTTAAAGGATGAATTAAGTTTCGAAATGAAAGTTTAGGAACCAAATTGGGTATTAAACCTTTTTTTAATTTTTCTTAATTAGTGGTTTATGACTTTTGTAGCCTGAAAATGAAGAGACTTGCTCTAATTTTGGAAAGTAAATTTGAAGTTCTATACTAAGGGGTTGGAACCTTGATGTAGGGTTGGAACACAAACAATTGGCTTCATGGTTCGCACCTTGGTGTGAAGTGTTGACACCTGAAATTGGACAACTCAAGTTCACAAATCAATTGCATCGAGGGTTCTGAAATTTGACCTCAAGGGTTGGAACTATTTGTAAAGTCTTGCATGAATGGAATTAAATTTTGAATTTCTTTGCTAACATAGATTCACATGGAAAAGAAAACTCACCAAATATATGATTCTAAACTTAAGATCGATGATTTTAGTTCAAGAAAATAAGGAAACTTAGTTTGACCAATTAAGTCCAAATTGTTAAAATAAAAAGTTAATATTGTATTCGTATTTGGTTTAGATTTATCAAAATCAAGAACAACATATACAATATAAAAAAATTGAAAACAAAAACTCATAAAATGAGTAGAATCACCTTAACATTTAAGTGCTTATCCAATTCCCTTGATATATCACCTAATTAGTTCATTTAAATTTTTTTTTGGGGGTAAGTTCAATTAATTAAATTGATCTTTCTTTAATTAATAAAATTAGTGAGTTCATAGTGTTCATTGAAAAAATTTTAGGTTATATTTTTAGCATGTAAAAAACAAAATGAGGGGTTGTCTATAAACAACATGCGACTTATCTCTATTAATTAGAATTTGTCCCTGGCTAGCAGGGTCTCCCTTTTCCTTGTTGTCAACGGCTTTCGTTGGAGGTGGTTGTTCATCTCATTTATTTCCTTTCTCAATTTAACTGTTAAAAGTAATGATAAATAAAATATTATTTTTATGAAAATTATATTATGTGAAATTCACTAGTTTATATGGAAAATTTTGAATTCATCTCTAGTTTAATTTCAAAATTAGAGGGAAAGAAAAATGTATTGAAATTCATATGAGAGTAATTATAAAAGATGAAACCAAGAGACACAAGAAACGCATGCAATACTTATATAGAGTGGTCTATTTATACCGGTTTTTGGTATGAATCACCAATGTAATGCTTTTCGAAAACTTAATTACAGTTGAAAGTTAGATGTAGCCGTTGGCCAATGATAACAACCTCCATCAACAGAACCAATTTTTACAAGGTTGTGGAATATACACTTCCCTAATAAAGTGTGTGGCTTTGCCTGGCTTGTGATTCATAACAGTATTCCAACAAAGCTAAATTTTCTCAAAATAGGTATAATTAAAGAGATGGAGACAGCTACTTGTAGGCCTATTTAATAGCTATGCAGAGAAGAGCAACCACCATTTTCTCCATTGTTCAGTTACCTCAACACTTTGAGCAAAATGTACAAAATGGTGGGGTGTGGGTACTGTACTTGCTGGTACATGTAGGGACTCAGCTCTTTTTGGACAACATGAAGAATGAAGATGTGGTACAAGCAACAAAGAACCGACAAGGGTGGGTTGCAGTTTGGTACTCATTGGTATGGACAATTTGGAATGCCAGGAATGAGGTAGTATTTAAAGGGAGCTCCGTGGATGTGGCTCGAATGTTTGATCAAATACAAGTGAGGTCTTTTTTGTGGGTAAAAAGCAAAAGGATTGAAGGACACATTTCCTGAATGACACATTTCCTTTCGAACTGGATCTTAAACAGTTAAACCCCAATTACTGTAAAATTATTAAGTGATTATAAGTTGTGGTAACATGTTATGGGTAGGAGAGATACAACACACGATCATTTGCTTGCCCTATGATGTTAATTGGTTTTGCGCGTACTTTTTGTATTCAATCAAATAAATTTCTTTGTTTCTTAAAAAATAAAAAAATAAAAAGAAAAAAGATGTTGGTCAACTATGTTGAATAAATTTCAAATGCATAACATATCATATTAGTATTTTAAGGTTTCACCCATGTAGTATATGTTGAGATCCATTTTCGATGTATTACATATTGGTGTTTTAAAAGTTGACCATGTAATATATGTTACAATCCATGAGTTTTCACCAACATGGTTTATGTTGGAAACTAGTTCTAATACCCCAAAAAACTTTCTATCACACACAAAGTCAATGATTGAATATTCACCTACTTGATTTGTGTTGTAAAGTTTTTATTGTTGTTCAATTGACCACTTAAAGGACATGAGCCATGTTGGTAAATGTGAAAATCACTTATATGTGTAATTATGTCAGTAAATTTAAGTGGTTAAAAGTCTACCCTCTAATAGTGAATCTCTCATTTAGGCAAGGATGAAGTTAGAAAGTAATCTTAGAGGGGACAGAGTGGTATTTGAAATGTGTATGCTAAAAATGAATTCTTGACTTGTAATTTATAAATGATATTAAGATTTAAATATACAAAAACTAAAATTTTAAAAATTTTAAATATAGAAAATGAGAAAATGTATGTTTTCTATTTTTTTCATGAATGAAAAGCTTCAGTATTTATGTACAAGACAAGAGCAGCCAAATGAATGAAATCTCTTAAGCAAATCTATTTACAACGGTAAAATATAAAATGGAAAGTAATAAAAGCTAACGAGTATATGTTGAATTGGCAAGGATTAGGGGCTAATGGCTAGAACTTTGATTGTGGTGCTATAATGTAGTAGAAGATATATGCATAACTCTAACACCCCCCCCCTTCAAGGTGGAGCATGCGAGTAAAAAAGGCCTAACTTGCGAAGAAGGAATTGGAATTGATCACTTCCCAAAGCTTTTGTGAAGATGTCAGGTAGTTGGAGGCTGGAATGAACATGACAAGTAGTAATAGCTCCAACTTGGATCCATTCCCGAATAAAATGACAATCAATTTCAATATGCTTTGTACATTCATGGACAACTAGGTTGGTAGCTATGTGAATTGTAGCTTTGTTGTCATAAAATAGTTTCATGGGTTAGAGATGATCAACTCCTAAAGTTCGAAGCAAGGTCTTGAGCCATAAGAGTTCACATACAATGGAAGCAATAGCCCTATATTTTGCTTCAGCTGATGATCATGACACTGTAGATTGCTTCTTGATTTTCCAAGATATGGGTGAGGTGCTAAGCATGGTGATGTAACTTGTTCTGGATCTTTGAGTCATAGGGCAATTGACCCAATCTAAATCACAATATGCAAAAAGTTGTAAAGAGCTTGAGGATGAGAGGAAGATACCTTGGCCCAGTGAAGATTTTAAGTAGCGTAAGACACGCATTGTTGCATTAAGGTGAGGCTATTGAGAAGCTTGCATGAATTGACTAAGGATATTGATAACATATGAATTTCAGGACGTGTGATTGTCAAATATATGAGAAGCCCAACTAATCTCCTGTATTACATAGGGTCAGAAAGATGTGGGCCATCATCTAAAGTGAGTTTAAGCTTCTGCTCCATGGGGAATAAAGATGGCTTTGTACCAAGCATGCGAGATTCAACTAAGATGTCTAACGTATATTTCCGTTGATTTAGAAAAATGCCAAAGGGGTGTCATGCCACTTCAATGCCTAAGAAGTAGTTTAACTTACCAAGATCTTTGATGTGGAATTTTGTATGAAGGAAATCTTTCAACTTTTGACAAAGCAATGAGTCATTTCCTACAACAATCAAATCATCATCATAGACTAATAGGGTGAGGAATTTATTCTCATGTCACTAGGTGAAGAGTGAATAATCGCTCATAGATTGTCTAAAGCCAAAAAAATTTTAAGTAGAAAAGAATTTTGCAAACCAATTTCTTGATGATTGTTTGAGTCCTTAAAGTGAATTCCTCAAACGACAAATACGTTGCTCTCCTTTATTCCCATAACCTTGGGGTAGATGCATGTAAACTTCTTCATCAAGGTCACCATGAAGGAAGGTATTGTGAACATCTAATTGATGTAACTCCCAATTGCGAACTGCAGCAACAACAAGTAAGCATCAAACAATGACTAGCTTAGCAATTGGGGCAAAGGTATCATGGTAATATAATACTTCAACTTGGGTGAATCCTTTTGCAACAAGGTGTGCTATGTACCGCTCGACAATTCCATTCGCTTTATATTTGATCTTGTAGATCCATTTATAGCTTATGGGTCATTTTCCAGGAGGTAGTGTCTCCAAAGTCCAAGCATTGTTCCTTTCAAAGGCATTGATCTCATCTTCCATTGCTTTTCTCCACTTAAGATTGTGAATGGCCTATGAATAAGATTTTGGCTCATCTTCAGTGGAGATGGCCGCTAAGAAAGAACGATGAGGAACACTAAATTTATCATATGTAACAAAGTTTGAAATAGAATGCAGCGTACCTAATGTTTTTGAAGGTTGATTTTCTTCCACTTGTACACCATTAAGAATGTAATCAATAAAATAATGTAGCATCCTCTTCTCACGTTGAGATCTAGAATCTGCTCCTTGGTTAATGACTAGATTAGATGCATGGCTGGTATCATTCTGCACATCTAGAACATCAATTTTGGCATGTTGTTTCTATTGGGTAGTATTAGAGGCACATTCATGCACTATGTCTTCATTGATACTTGTTGCTGCTGGTACATTGTTGCTATTTTGTGTATTGTCGGTAGCATTACTATTGTTACTTGGTGCGGCAATATTGTTCCCAATTGGTGCATGTATG